TTTTTTTTTTTTTTCAATTTTATTTTACTCCTGCAAAATGGATCAGTTCTTAAATGCAAACTGAAACAACGCGGGTGATTCCCAAGGCCCTGCAGCCATGGCACCTGATTTCTCAGGCTTTGACTTAGAATCATTGAATCGTTTTCATTGGAAGAGATTCTTAAAATCCTAAAGTCCAATCATTCCCCCAGCACTGCCATGTCCACCACTAACCCGTGTCCCTCAGCACCACTTCTATGTATCTTTGAAACCCCTCCAGGGATGGGGACTCCACCACTGCCCTGGGCAGCCTGGGATAGAACAATCCTTTCCATGAGGAAGCTGCTCCTCAAGTCCAACCTAAACTTCCCCTGGTCCAACTTGAGGCTGTTTCCTGTTCCTTGGGAGCAGAGCCCGACCCCCACCTGGCTCCAGGCTCCTGTCAGGAGCTGTGCAGAGCCAGAAGGTCTCCCCTGAGCCTCCTTTGCTCCAGGCTCAGCACCCCCAGCTCCCTCAGCTGCTCCTCCCCACACTTGGGCTCTAGACCCTTCCCCAGCTTCGTTGCCCTTCTCTAGCCATGCTCGAGCCCCTCAAGGTCCTTCTGGGAGTGAGAGGCCCAAAACCAATCCCAAGATTCAAGGTGCAGCCTCCCCAGTGCCAAGTCCAGGGGGACAATCTTAGCTCTTAAATCCTTCACGACTTAGAGCTGTACAAAAGAGTTTGCTCCTGTGTGGATCTTGTAGTGTCTGATAAAGATTGAGTTTGTTTAGTGGGAATGCTTGAGAGGTCAGATCTTCTCTGTTTCCAGGAGGTTAAGTTTCAAGAATACTGTCCTCTTTGAGACATCTCAAGTTCTGTAAAATGTGATTAAAACAACCTAACGCGTCCATGAGTTCCTAGGGAGGGACTGAACAAAAGACACATTCCTGGAGAGAAGGGACTGGCTCTGCACCTGCTCCTGTCTCTGCACTACAAACCTTCCTCCACCTCCCTGTGGTCACAGCAAAAACGAGATAAATTTACTGGGCAGAATTACAAGGAGGTTTCTTTAAGCCTTGTCCAAAAAAATGCTCTTGCCATTAAAGCAAAAGCAGGACTGGCCACGTGCTCCTTCCTCACCTGCAGCTTCCCAGGAGCAGCAGAAATGCAGAGAACAACTCAAAAGCAGCGAGGGAACTGGGGAGCACCCTGGGTGGCCCCAGGAAAGGGACTGGGAGCATTTCGAGCTGGCAGCTCTACTTTGTGCTTGGGGTCAGCCTGGATGCACAGCTTAAGCTCCAGAAAAACAGGGACCTGCCAGAGGAGCCCCAGCAATGCCTCGAGGGGGGAACCCCTCTGCTGGGAGCCCAGCAGGAGAGAGTTGGGCTGGGGCAGCCTGAGAGGAGAAGGCTCCAGCTGGGGAGACCTGCTGGGGGCTGCCAGGGCTTCAAGGGGCCTGGAAGAAAGCTGGGGACAGACTTTTTAGCAAGACCTGTTGGGACAAGGCAAGGGGTGATGGTTTTAACCTAAAAGAGGGAGATTTAGACTAGATCTAAGGAAGACATTTGTGCTGCTAAGAGTGGTGAGCCCCTGGCCCAGGTTGCCCAGAGAGGTGGTCGCTGCCCCATCCCTGCAACCATCCCAGGTGAGTTTGGCCGGGGCTCTAAGCAACCTGCTCTGGTTGGGGATGTCCCTGCTCAGGGCAGGGGGTTGGATGAGATGATCTTAAGCTCCCTCCCAACCCAAACAATTCAAGGAATCTATGATTCTACAAACTGCTGCATTGGTGATGACCCAGAACAAACAGGTCTATCAAAAACCTCGAGTGTTGTCCATTCTGCTTCTGATCCTGCTGTTAACACCAGAATCACTTGGTTTCCCTTTCCAAAATATTTCATCTGATTCCACTGAGGACACTCTAGCTCTGCACTCCTTCCCCCTGCACTCACACCCCAGCTGGCCCAGTGCTCCCACTTCTCTCCCAAACACTTGCTGTTCCAGAAAACAAGAGCTTGCCCAAGACTGCAGTAAAACAGACTTAGAATAAAACAAAAGCGCAATGCTGTCATTAGAACTGATCTAAAACCATCTCCTCTTGCCATAACCCCAACACTTCCTAGGATCCCCAAAATCCAGCCTCACGGAGGGAGCGAGCACACACTGGGCTCCCAACGCATCCCCACGGTGGCTTTCTGACCCCAGCCCCCTGCTCTCCACACCCCAGGCCTTCTTTTTTTGGCCAGCTGCTGGCTTTTTGGTGGGACTCCAGGCACTGCTGCAGGGAGCCAAGGGCAGCAGGCGGGGTCGAGTGCCCGGGACCAGTGGGATGACACCGACCACACACAGGAGCCACCCCAACTGCTGCTGTGTCCCCCCTCCCCGGCCAACTCCTGGGGTTTTTCCAGCCCTCCTCCCTCCTGAAACGCTGCTCTGAACCCTCTAGGATCTGTCCCTCCCTGCTGGGAGGTCTTGCTGGAGAAGTCCCTCTGGTCCCCAAACCCCACATACCTCCTCTGCTGCCGGTAGCCTGACAGCTCCAGGAGGGATTTCCGAGGGAAAGACCGAAAGAGTTTCTGCACCTGCTGTTTCCATGACAGCAGCCGCTTCTTCTGGATCTCTGTAAACGCCTGCCCAGAAAGAAAGACAACAAAAAAGAGAAAAATAGGAAATGTAGGAGTGTTTTTCTGCAGTTGGTGTGAGCTGAGCCCCACCGGCAAGTGCGGAGGGAAACCCTGGTCTCCCTCAAGGATTCACCCAGCTCGGGTGGAGAAAATGCTGTGAAAGTCACCCAGGCAGGGGGCAGATCTCCCCCTGCAACACCCCCAGACCTTCAGCAAGATGCTGGGGGTCACGGGGACATCCCCACCATGCCCACAGCCGCTAATTTAGACCCCCGGCATCTCTGTGCTGCTGGTGGAGAGGAGTGGAGCCTCCAGAGGGCAATTTGGAGGCTAATTAGCCCTTGACTTAATTGCTCCGGACCACCCCGTGGAGAAGAGGCTCCCTCCTGGTGCTGTTACGCCAGAGCTGATGCAGATGGTGCTCCTGGGACACAGGCTGGCACCAGTGGGGTGATGCTGCGTCACCACCTCTGCCCAGGGGCTCAGGAAAATCAGAAAGCTCTGATGCTGTCTGAGAGGGGAGACATGCTGTCCCTTCCAGCCTCTCCAGCTGTTCTCCACTGCCCGTGTCTGTGGGGAGCACCAAGAAGACCACACCAATGGCTCTCAACCCATTCTGCAGCAAACCTGAACTGCAGGTGCCACATTCCAGTGTTGCATGGGGCCAAACGTTGGCTGACACCGCCAGTGCTGCCAGCAAAATGCACTGAAACCCCCACTGTGACTGACAGAGGTGTCCAGGAGCACAGCTCAAAACACCATACAATGGTTTTGGTTGGAAAAGACCTTTAAGATCATTAAGTCCAACTGTTAACTCAGCAGTGCCAAGTTCACCACTAACTCATGTCCCTCAGCACTACATCTCCACAGCTTGGAAACCCCTCCAGGGGTGGGGACTCCACCACTGCCCTGGGCAGCCTGGCACAGCCCTGGGCAACCCTCCAGGGAAATAAATTGTTCCTCAGGTCCAAACTCAACCTCCTCTGGTGCAACCTGAGGCCATTTCTTCTTGTCCTGTGGCTTGTTCCTTAGGAGCAGAGCCCGACCCCCACCTGGCTCCAGGTTCCTGTCAGGAGCTGTGCTGAGCCAGAAGGTCTCCCCTGAGCCTCCTTTGCTCCAGGCTCAGCACCCCCAGCTCCCTCAGCTGCTCCTCCCCACACTTGGGCTCTAGACCCTTCCCCAGTTTCACCGCCCTTCTTTGGATGTGCTCCAGCCCCTCAGCATCCTTCTTGGAGTGAGGGGCCCAAAGCTGACCCCAGCATATCAGGTATGGCCTCAAGAAGTATGTTGAAATGCATTTCACCCAGTATCCAACTAATTCACCCCAATTTGAGTTCCACCCTGTGCTTGGCCCTGCAGAGACGCCTCAAACCTCTGCCCAAGGACAGCTTGGGCACCAGGTTCAGGTGCCAGGCAAGGGGCTGTGAGCCACCTCTCTCCTATTCCACGTGGTGTGCAGCACATTTTGGGGTCTGCAGCCACCAGCCACCTCCAGAGGAGATTATTCCACACTTTGACAGTGTATTTTTTAATAAACAAATAACTGAGAAACATTTCAAGGCTGCAGCTCCTGCAGGGGGCGCGTGAAGCTGCCCCCTCCTGCCCCGAGCCCTGCCATATGGGCAGCGATGAGAAGCAGCTTGTCCTGCCAGGGGCATCAAATGCTGAAGGACACCAGGGGGGCTGGCCACCCTTCCCTGCCACCAGGCAGGAGCGTGCTGGAGCCCTGCAGCACAGCCTTGGCCAGCCCAAGCCACCACCCAGCTTGGCAGATCTTGCCTGGAGCACAAACAGATGTCCCCCTTGTGAAAGGAAAAAACCCCAAGACCACGTGCTGCAAAACAGGAGGTGGCAGCGGCGAAGGATGGTTGGGTCTGTCTGACAGAAACCACCTGCACCTTCAGCCTGGGAGTTTTTGCTTTCATCCAGCTGCTGTCTGGATGACTGTCACGAGCCAGATGAACTTCCCAGCTCCAGGTCTTGGCCTTTAAGCGAGCGTGGTGGGGGAGCAACATCTCCATGCCTCACGTCGGGGCCACCGCCCGCTCCAGCCCTGTTCTGTCAGAATTACTATTAATACCCCCCAAAAATATTTGTGTTAGAAACCGAAAGGTTGACGTAAACAGACACTTTGGAAACAGTTTCTAAGTGATGAGAACAACAGTTTTAGATGATCTGTTCCCGACTCACCTCGTGGATTAGACATTTGTCTATGAGCTGTAAATAGGAACTTATATTCTCCTCGTCAGGTCGGGAAACTAAAAGTTGTGTGCATACTGGAAAAAAAAAAAACAGAGAGAAGAGAAATGGGCATGGGGACACCGAGCTGGGGTCCAGGGGGGTTCAATCCATCCTTGGATGTCCTGTTTCCCATGTCCTGTGGGCAGGTTTTCTCACCAGTGTGAAAGAACACCCCTCCCCAATTCCTGCCGTGCTGTCCTATATTTAGGGCCAGATTTTGTTCTCTGTTCTGATGGTGTAAATCCAGAGTAACACCACTGAAGTCACCAAAATTAGACCTGAGCAAATCAGGGGCACAGGATTATTCCCTATTCCTAGGCCAGAGCAGTGTTTGGAGAGCTCCTGCTCCTACAGCACAAATATGCTCCTGCTCCAAACAGATTCTCACCTTTCCCGACAGATTTTAACCTCTTTTGGAACCAATTCCATAAAAGCAATTGGAAGCGAGTTCACAGAGAAATGAGTGTCTCCTGTTGCAGCCCCTGGGCTGGGATGCCTTGTGGTCCCCAGGAGGACACCTTGTCCTGGCAAGGCTTGTGCCACACGTCCAGCTTCGTGCCCGACAGGGGCATTTGTCACAGGCTGAATTCATCCGTGGGTTTAACACAGGGCCCAGACCCCCGCGTCTGTCTGTGCATGGAGTCGTTTGGCTGCTTGAGAAACTCTGCACCAAGCTTTTACACAGGAAGCACCTCATCTATTTTTGGCCAAAAAAAAAGGTCTGAAATAGGGACAGGGCTGATAGTTCTTTGTGGAATCTCAAGGACTTTCTTTCTGTTCCTGGTCTCCTGTGTGAGCCTGAGGACAAGACTTTGACTCTTCCCCAGGGAGACCTCTGTCCAAGGAGCCAGCACCGACACCTCAGATCCCACCAAAGGGAGTCAGAACGTGTCTGAGCTCATACAAATCTGCCCCAGGAGCCCTGCATATGCCCCAGGAGGTTGGTCCCGACCTCACAACGCTCTTGTGCTAATCCTGATGCAAAGCCCTGCCACCCACGCCAGGCATGGAAAGGCACTTGAGTATTTTGGATGCCCTGTATCTAAATTTGGGCTTAAAGAGAGGCTTGGACCCATCTGATCTGCACTCAGGACAGCACACACTAAGCCCACACACCAGCACTATCCCCTGCAAGCAGAGCAAGACCAAGAGACCCCCATCTATGGACTGGTGGGGTGCTCCCAGGGCTCTGAATGGGGAGGAGGAGGACACCATCCACCCCCGACTGTGGGCAGGCAGCCCGTCCCACTGCTGTCCCCCCAAAAATCACTGCCCACCTCCCCACCCACACTCTTACCTCTTACCACAGCATGATAGGCCCTCAAAAAATCACCAGCCCTAGGACTGGGACCCACAAGAGCTTGGGGGAAGGCTGTTGCCAGGAGCACCACCACAGCCTCTTTTACCCACCTTTCGGCCTATCTAGGTGTTTGATTTCATGTATTTACTTTTATGAGTGTGGGCATCTATATATTTCACAAAATCCCAGCACAGTAGGGTTGGAAGGGACCTCTGGAGATCATCTGGTCCAAACCCCTGTTCCAGCAGGTCACCCACAGCAGGGGGCCCAGGATGGCGTCCAGGTGGGTTTGGAATCTCTCCAGAGAAGGAGACTCCACAGCCTCTCTGGGCAGCCTGCTCCAGCCTCACAGCAAAGAATTTTTTCCTGCTGTTCAGGTGGAACCTCCTGGGTTCCAGTTTGTTCCCATTGCCCCTTGTCCTGTCACTAGGCACCACTGACAAGAGTCTGGCCCCAGCCTCTTGACCCCTGGGGGGCCCTTTAGCTCTCAGGAAACACTAATAATCATAGAGTGGCTTAGGCTGGAAGGGACCCTAGAGATCATCTAATCCAACCCTCCTGCCATGGGCAGGGACACCTCTCAACTAGACCAGGTTGCTCAAGGCCTCATCCAACCTGGCCTTGACCACCCTGGCCTTAAACCCCTCCAGTGATGAAGCATCCACAACCTCTCTGGGCAATCTAGTCCAGAGTCTCCCCACCCTCCTACTGAAGAACTTCTCCCTAAGATCCAGTCTAAACCTACTCTCCTTCATTTAAAACCATCTCCCCTCGACCTGTCGCTGCACACTCTTGTGACAAGTCCCCTCTGCCTTCCTGTAGGTTCCCTTCAGGTACTGGAAGGCAGTTCTAAAATCCCCTGGAGTCTTCTCCAGGCTGAATAGTCCCAGCACCCTCAGCCTATCCCCATAGCAGAGATGCTCCAGCCCCTGGATCTTCTTGGTGGCCTCCTCTGGACTCCTTCCAACAGCTGTATGTCCCTTTTATGCTGGGGACACCCGAGCTGGACGCAGTATTGGAGGTGGGCTCTCACCAGAGCCGAGCCCCTCTCCCCATGCCCAGGAGCACCCTGCCCGATGCAGCTCTGCCTAGGGAGGGCCACTCACCTTTGCCCATCACTCTGGTGAACTGCCCAGGCAGGTCACCCTCGGGCAGAGGGGCCCCCCCTGACTCGCCCTCGCAGCCGGGTAAGTGGTGCTGCTGCAGCCCCCCTGTGGCAGAGTCCTTGCAGTCGGGGCCTTGGCTGTCGGAGCCCAGCAGGGAGGAGCCGTGGGGCGAGTCCCCCTCCCGGCCCTGCTCCTCCGTGCTGGAGCTCTGGGAGGAGTAGGCTTTGATGGGGGTGAGGATCATTTGGTGGAGCTCCTGCAGCGGGACGCGCAAGTTGCCGCCCTCCAGGATGTCCTGTGGGGAGAGGAGACAAGAGGGTTGGTGTCTGTGGGATGCCAGGACATCAGCTGTCATGAGCCATCAACACAAATCCAGCTTTGGCCTTCCCACACCTCCACCAGGAAGGTGGCAACTCCAGGAGAGCCTTGGAGATTTCAATGCCCAGACCAGTGAGCATCTTGCTCCTTCCCCAGCAATCCCAGAACCGTGACTGTTCAGCTCTAATTAACTGGAATTGCAATTTTTTAACATGGGCTTATCTCCAGTTTCCAGCACTAGCTCTCCATCCAGTGCTCTGCCCCAAATGGGCTGCCAGAGCATCCCTACGCCCTGGGGGCACCACAGAGCCCAGGACCACACCAGGAGCCCATCCTACAGCAGTGAAGTGGGGATGTCCCCATCCACACTGGGATGGGGGAGAGGGGAAAGGGAGGGTTTCAAAGGGAGCAGGGTGGGTTGTGGTCAGACACAGAAGGGGAGACCCCAAGGCTGCAGGTGAACTTCTATCCCTATAGCAAAACTATTCAGTTTGGAGATCCTGTGGGAGGTCCACCCAGGAGGGAGGGAATCAGGGCACACCTCCAGCCTTGTTCTCGGTTACAGCATGGACCAAGAACTCCCTTTCTGCAATCAGATCCTTGTCTCACTGAAGGGAAATAATTGCATTTTGTTTTTTAATGTAGCCTGGACCAGAACAGCTCACTGCACAGTCTGGTTCGTGGGACATGGCTTGGAAAGCAGCAGCTTTTGGAGTGAGTCCTGGCTGTGCCTGGAGAAGGGACACAAGGTGGGCCCACGGGCAGCTGAAGCCCTGAAATGGTTGTTCACCCCAATTCCTGCTCGCTCTTGGCCTCAGCTCAGACAGCTCCACTTCTCTGGAAGACCTGGAGTCAGCCTGCTGAGCACGATTTTCTGGGGAAAAAACCCTGCTCTGCTAACTGGAGGACAGGGGTGGAGCAGCTCTTTCCAAGAAAGCAGCAATCTTTAGCAGTGAGACATTCCCCAAAAAAAAACCCCAAGCTGCACACATGCTCTTGTTTAGTGAAAAGAAATTGGATGGGAAGCCTGGAAAACCAGAGACGTCCCCTCCCAAGGAAAGCAGCTCACAGGCAGCTCTGAGCCCCAGCAAAGCGGGACACGGCCGCAGCCCCACACTCAAACCCCCTCCACGAGGGTCCAGAATCAGCCCCTGCCACTTGTCTCCTGGATTTTGCAGCTGCTTTTCTGAGCTGAACCAGCCTTAAGCTCCCTCACCGTGCTGAGGTCGAAGCCATATTTCAAAAACCCAGGGAGAGAAGCGGGGGAAGAGGTTGTGCAGCTGCCTGGAAAGCGGGTGGCTGAAGCCAGCTCAAGCCAGGAGGCTGTCTCTTGGATTTAATTGTTAGTATTAATATCAGGAGGTAAATATGGCTTTATTAGCTCCTGCCATCCTCCGAGTACAACCCCGTATTATAAATAGTGAAGCAGTGAGCTAATGAAAACAACAATAAATAGCAACACGCCACGTAAGTATTTAAAAGCCCCTAGTGGGAGGCTCTGCAAGTTGCTGTTTGAAGATGGTGCAATTAAATATAATATAATGCTGTGGAAATAAATAGTGAGAGGTTGGGGGAAGCTGCTCCCAGCAAGTCTGTGGTACTGCTGCTTCTCCCACAGCCATTTCTGCAGAGTTGGAGCTTTTGTTATAGTGAGAAAGAAGTTTTTATTTGTTCTCCTCAGAAATTTAAGGTGTTGTTCAGGCACTAGTGTGGGTGTCTGGTCTTTTATCTGGCCCATATGATGTTCCACAGAAGTGCAGTGTCCTTTGAACTGGCAGATCTCATCTCTTTTTGGGGATGGAGAGGTAGACAGAGGGCCTAGGGGTCCCCATGTTGACCCTGTGTGTGGAGGGGGTCTCTTGAGAGGGGCAGTAGCTCTTTCAGGGAGAGAGAACCAAGTGGCTGAGGGATAATCAGGGGTTAAAGGCTCTGCCCAGTGGGTTCTCCAGAGGCAAAGAGGACCACAAAGGCTGGTGCAGCTAGAGGTGGCCCTGCACCACGGGTCAGCAGATGGGCGCAGCAGATGGGCGACCACCTGCCCATCAGTGCCCCTGGGATGGTGCCTCCATCACTCAAAGCTCAGGGGTTTCTGAGCACCCTGGAGCTGGCCAGGGTTTGCACCAGTGCTACAGGGTATATCCATCCCAGCTGCATGAGTGCTGGAGAAGAATTAGGATCCACTCTGCAAAATACAGCCCCAAATAAAACCTGCATCTGGTAGAGAAGTCTTTGAGACATCATTCAGCTGCAGCCAAGCCAACAACAGATTTCTCTGCAAAAGATCCCAACAACATCTGTAACCAAAGAGTGCTCCACCCCAGAATTAATTCCTGGCTTCTTGAAAAAGAAGAAATACCAAAGTGGTTGTGATTACTTACCCTTTCTAAAGATTTGAGCAGGTTTTGTCTTTCTTTTAGCTTTTGGATACTGATGACTATTTTGTGTCTGGCGCCTTTGGTAACGTTCTGCAAAAACAGGACAAAAGCTGCCATGAGGATCTCCCCAGGACAGCCAGCTCACCCCAAAGCCTTCCCCCCCTAAATGAAAAGGGCTGCTGGAAATTAATCCAATTTCTGGGTGCAGGGATTAGCAGTGGGTATAGAAAATCACTTAGAGAATTGCTGAAGGTTGAGATTTCCAGCTAGTCTGTCCCTCCCCGGACACAGTGAAAGCAGAGGTGCTGGCAGGCCCTCTCCACCCTGAGGATGATGCAGAGGACAGTCTGAAAGCAGGGACATTTTCAGAAGTTAACAAGGCAATCAGCCACCAAAGCCTTTAAAGGAGCTGGGTACTGCAGACTGTGCCCCTGGAACTCCTCAACTTAATCCCAACTGGAAAAAAACCCCAAGAGCAGATCCCAGTAATGGGGCTTTCATGCTGGGACTCCAGTAAGACATCAAGACAAGACCTTTTTCAGGTACATTGTGGTTTTTTTTCACTGCCCAAGGCCAAATTTTCCTTTCCCTGTTTGCTCCCAACCACCTGAAGGCAAAATACCTCCCAGGTGAAGACACAAAAAGAGGCTTTGGAGGCCCCTCCTCTACCCACAGTACAGGCGTTGAGGATGGGGGCTGATGGCTTCATGCCTGATGCAAGACCTACTTGTGCCTCCAGCTGGCATTCGGTGAGGGCCATCATCTCCTCATAGGTCATCTGGGAGAAGAGGGCGGCGTACTTGTGCAGCCGGAGGCTCTTCAGCCAGGCTGGGACATCTGCAGACCAAAGGGAAGGAGATGAGAGGTCCTGTTGAGTTCATGACAAAACTCAACCACGGGCAACAGCGTCAACAGCAACGTGAGGAGTTTCTTAGGTGCCATCCACCATCCCACTGGTGCTTCAGGCACCTTCCTGAACTTCACAAACCTTTTGGAGGACACAGTGCTATGGATATGGATATGGATGGTAGGAGGAACCAGCCCCTGGATGAAGACATCTCCTCAGAGGTTGAGGTTCTGTGGCCACTGGGAGCTGTCCCATGGGGAGCCAGCATCTTGTCACAGCATGCCAAGCTCCTCGCTGCCCTTTCCCCACCAGAGCTCACGGTGTGGTCGAGCTTAGGATGAGCAAACGACTGCTCTGCAGACAGCAGACAGTGATTTATGGTGTGAGGGAAGATGGTATGTGCTGAAAATTTAAATGGCTGCTTACAGAGAAATAAGGAGATTTTTTTTTTCTGAGCATGGAAAAATGATGTGCCATCAAGGATGGTCCTACAGCCCGTGTCAGAAGGGTGACTTGGGACCTCAAAACACATGGGCTGAAATGATTTCCTCCTTCCCAGTCATTATCTGCAGTGTAGCACTTCTGTGCCTGGTTGGATGAGTACCCAAAAATATTTTTAACCTCCTGACATCAATGTGGTTTCGCAGGGAGAGACTTGGCAGGGGAATTCTTCCTCTGCAACATGCAAAACCCCACCAGACCCCATGAGGGGGTGTCCTCCATGGAGAAGGCAATGGGCTAAGAGCCTGCTCCAGCCTGCTCAGCAGCTACTTGGGGTTTTGCAGGTTTGGGGGGGCCCACAGTGATAACCCACTTGGGGGGGCCCCTGCAGATGTGTTCTGCAGCACAACACTGTGCCTGTGATGATGCTTTTGCTTTTCATCCTGAAGGCTTCAAATGCTGTCCCAAACCAGGACCTGCTTTAGTTAGCCCCTGCAACCCCAAAACAGCTCTGCCTTACAGAGCTCAGGTGCTCTGCTCCCAGCAATACTCATGGCCATCAGTCCTTGTGCCCCTCCACACCAGGGAGACACCCAGGAGCTCCATCTCAGCCCATGGTTAAAAACATGGTTAAAAATGAAAAACCAGTGTTTGAGACCCAAACTGCACCAAATGCCACACCTCAAGTGGAGGGAGCAAGTGGAGGCTTGGGAAATGTTTCTTTTGGAGCAAAATACCAGTTAGCAGGAACACCTCTCCTCTCTCTGAGGGACATTAGTCAGTGTAAGGGGTATGTCTCAAGTGGGTGGTGGAACCCATGTCCCGTGGCAGACAGTGGAGGAGAGCCTGAGGAGAAGGAGGGATGGCTGCTGGCAAGGCTGCCCCAACCAGGCTCCTCTGCCCAGAATGCCCACCAAGGTGGAAGGAAGGAACGAAGGAATTGGAGCTTGGACCACTTTCAGGAGGGATTTCTACTGCTGGGCTGGGGCTGCTGTGGGTGCTGGTGCTCTGCTCACCACCCTTGCAGCCAGGATGGGAACAACCTTCACAGCCACATCCAACAACCTGCACTAACGTAGCCAACCTCAAAGGTTTTCTAGGCTGATGCTACTGCAAGGTGTGAGGCCAGACCTGCTTTGGAAAGGGATGAGATGAGGCAAGGAGGACAGTCCTGCTCCTGGGATATGCCATGGTGTGGGATGGTCTCTGTCCTGCTGCCCACTGCTCGGGCAGGCCCCAAACCCCACTAGCATCCTAGCAGAGGATGCAAACAGCCCTGAAATGCTGCATTTTGCTCATGCCCTCCATCCTCTGACACTCATCAGGATTCATGTTTCAGTGGAACTCCTCAAACACTGCACAGAAGATCAACCCCACTACATGGGGGCAAAGCAATTACTGAGCATGGATGGGCTGAACTTTGCCATTTCCCAAAAGTCCCACCATACAACAGTCCTAAAACCTGCTACCAGAGACCTCTTCAGCTGATGTTCCTCTTAAAAACATTAAAAGCCATTAGCAGCAAGCCCTCTGCTTCCATGTAGGGAATGGCAGGCTTGAATCTCAGCTTCATTTTAACCCAAAACCACGTCATTTTGGGGATGACACACTAAAAGTTTATGTGATCTTGTGTCCCCTGAGGACATTTGCCTTTGGTACACATCTGTGCCAATGGCAAAGCCCATGGGGATGCTTTCAGAAGAGAGATTCAAGTTCACATAGACATTAAACCCGGCAGAAAACCTGTGCCTGACCTGTGCAGAAGGCCAGAACACAGAAGCAGCTCTCCTTTCCCGAATTGCATCAGCCTCCCTGGACAACTACTCCTATTTTTGGGGAGCTACAACTGTCCCAGAACCCCCTTGCCAGCAGGGATGGCAATCCCAGAGTCCCAGCATGGCAGGGGTTGGAAGGGACCTCTGGAGATCCCCTCATCCAAGCCCCCTGCTCCAGCAGGTCACCCAGAACAGGCTGCACAAAATCACATCCAGGTGGGTTTGGGATCTCTCCAGAGCAGGAGACTCCACAGCCTCTCTGGGCAGCTGCTCCAGGTTCGGCCACCCTCACACCAAAGAATTCACCCCAGCACACAGAGGGGTGGTGGTGGGGATGATGGTTCCCCCTTCTCACAGAGGCAATCAGGAGTTGCAAGGCCATCTAAGGTGATCTCATGGTCCTTGGAGAGTCAAACCTCCTAAGGACCCCACGGAGCAGCGAGCTGCCCACCCACAGAGCTACTCTTTAATCACCAATTACCAGGAGCTAATTGTGCAGTCACAGCACGGCTGCCAGAAACTCTGTGTCTGATGTGAGCAGCCAAGGAGGACTCCATGCTGCTCACAAACATCCTCCCCTCGAGGCACTAAACACCAGAGTCTGCCCAGCACGTGTTTATCTGGGGGTGGGCATGGAAACTTAGAAGAATTCACCCGGCCCTATAGATATATCTATAGACAGGCCAATATACACACAGGACATCTCCAGAAGCCCTCCTGCTGCACACCAGGCTAAGCTGTGGACGTACTCACAGCAGAGACCCCCAGCTCTACCCAAACCCTCCCACCAGTGCCCCTGAGCTGTGCCCTGGGAAGGGATGGATGGAAAGATGGATCCCCATCCACGGAGAGATGGGCTCTGAGAGGAAGCAAGTGTCCCCATCTCCCTCTGGAGAAACCAGGGGCTGGGAAGAAGCCAAAGGACACTTCTCCTTCAGTGTGAAGATAGCTGGAAAGGAGCAGAACAGGCAACTAAAGGGAAGCTGGACTGCTAAGCCCCCTTGGATGGGAGTCTGTTGTGGGTCTGGTTGCCCCACACTCCCCCCAGATGCCCTGGAGGGAGTTAAAGAAGGAGCAAGCTGACCAGAGGCAGGGGTGACACCACGCCAGAAGAGCCTGCAGGCACTGGGGGAGACATGGCTACAATTCAGAGAAGGGACTTGGCAAAGCCAGCAACTGCTCTGCACGAAATGAGATGCAACTCAATAAAAATGCACGAAGCTGTGCATTTCTGTAGCAACCCAGAGCAGGGAACAGGCAGTCCCTCTTTATTTTCAGCACAGGGGGTCATGGGCAGTCCACAATGGTGTGTTCCCTGAGGATGATGAGCTCCAGAGCCACAAGAACGTTGTCTGTAGAGCAAACAAGTCTCTGCTCTGCTCCTGAGCCCAGGTTTGGGCAATGCACCTTCAGGAAATCACAGACTTTCCAGAAAAAAAAAACATCAGAGGGAACCAAGAACAACCCCAAGTTTAGAAAACACCATCTGGGCAGAAGCTGGATCAGTTCAGTCTGAAGCAACGAGAGCAGAGGGGGGAGGACATGCCAGTCACAGACACCAGAGGCTGCAGACATCTGTTTCACATGTCCCCGGACAGTGGTACAAAAGCAATTTGGCTGACTCAACAACAGGGGGGAAATCAGGTTTAGATGTTTACAAACCTCCCTCCAGAGAAGGAGGATGCCCAGGAAGGGACGAGCTGAGGAAGGGCAACTATCTCCCTGCCTGCAGCAGTAACAGGCAGCCTTCACAGGAGCAGTTTGAGTTGATCACTGCTCGTGGGCAGCCTGGGCCTCTGGGGTTTGGAGATTTGGCTGCAGAGATTGACTGCATCACACTGGGAAGTTTCTCCACACGCAGGTCCCAGAGCTGCAGCTGTAGATCACAGGGAGCCAAGCTCCCCATGGTCTCCTTCCCAGCTCCATCAGCAGCAACCTGGAGAAATGCAGTGTTAAACAAACTCCTCTGCAGTACCTGCTCCCAAAAAAAGCATCTCTATGGCCTGACAGGCTGCAGGATCTGGCCCCAGGCATGGGAAGATCCTTCATGTTGGTCACAGATTAGTCTTCAACATGGTCATAGAATTATAGAATCCTTCTGGTTGGAAGAAACCTTTAAGATCATAGAGTCCAGCCACTCCCCCAGCACTGCCAGGTCCCCACTGCCCCGTGTCCCTCAGCACCACATCTCCATGGCCTGGAAACCCCTCCAGGGATGGGGACTCCACCACTGCCCTGGGCAGCCTGGCACAGGACTGGACAGCCCTGTCAGGGAAGAGATTGTTCCTCAGATCCAACCTAAACCTCTCCTCTGGTGCAACTTGTGGTCATTTCCTCTTGTCCTGTCCCTTGTTCCTTGGGAGCAGAGCCCGACCCCCACCTGGCTCCAGGCTCCTGTCAGGAGCTGTGCAGAGCCAGAAGGTCTCCCCTGAGCCTCCTTTGCTCCAGGCTCAGCACCCCCAGCTCCCTCAGCTGCTCCTCACCACACTTGTGCTCTAGACCGTTCCCCAGCAGCTTTGTTGCCCTTCTCTGGACTCGCTCCAGCCCCTCAAGGTCCTTCTGGGAATGAGTGGCCCAAAACTGAGCCCAGCATTTGAGATGCAGCCTCTCTGAGCCTGCTTGCCTGCTTGCTTGCCCACCATCAGGTGGTGCAGGCACCTGCAGCACTGCTGGAGACAAAACACTCCCTGGCTGCTCTCTCTGATGAGGTGTTCATTAGAACGTGGAGCCATTGAGAAGTCAAGCCCAGCTCTGTGAGGCTACCACGCTCAGAGGACGATCCTGTCCCACCTACAGCTCATCATCCCACCCCAGAGCAAGGCTACGGTGCGAAGTCCAGGCAAGGAGAGGGCTCACCCCCAAGCACCACCTCACGGGGCAACCATGAGGGTGCTTCTCCTGCATTTATTTCACGCACAGCAAAGTCACACGGTGCCAAGTCAAACCCAGTTCCACGTTACACAGATTCAGAGGCATCTAGATCTGTCTGGAATTCAAACAAAACCTGGTGACTATTTCAAAAATACAATTCTTGCCTTACTCTGATCCATCACACCATTGATTTGCTTTTCATTCATGAAAACCAGTCCTTCAAATCAGTCTCTGATAGCTGCGGGCTCATTTTCAGGCATTTTGTCTGTTCAAAGGAAGATCCAGTCTGTGTTTGCCCACTTTTTATCTGTTTATTTCTCTACAGCCTGAAGTTCACTCCCCATCTTTGACTGCAGCACCAGGGTTTCGTTTCTGCCTCGGTTCCCAACAGGATCACACACATTTACTGCTACAAGCCTCTGTGAAATGGGAGTGTAATGGGAAAAACAACTGAAAAACACAGGATCAATTCACTGCAAACAAGGATCCTACGCCAAAACTTCCCCAAATGCTTGGTGGGTACCAAACACTGCACTGATAAATCTCACGTGGCTTGCTAAACTTACGCTATTTTTTCACCACAATAAAAAAAGAAAAAGGAAGAGAAAAGAGCTCCACTCGCAGCCAAAAAGCCCCAGGCTGTGGAACAAATCCAGCTTTCTGGAAAGCTGCAGGACTCTGGGACAAAACCAGCCCACGGGCACCCAACTGGAAGACATCAGGCCGCTGCTCAGAAGAAAACCTCACTTATTTCCCTAAACCTGAATTCCTAAGGTGGGAAGAGATGCTGAAAAGCCCCATTGGGTTCTGAGGACTCTCACCCCAAAACCACCAACCGAGCCCCGCGCTGCCGGGACGACGGCTCTTCCCCTCCTGCCTGGGGGTGCTGGGGTCGGGGTCGGGGAGGCAGCTTGGGGTTTCACTCACCTTTCATCCCACTCCCTTCCTCCTGGAATGTGTTACGAGCAGAAGGCTGATCTTCTAAATGTTCACTCCCACCACTTCCCGAAGAGGCTACACTGCTTTGTGGAGACAGGGGGGCATGATCGGAAGGGATGCACTGGGGTCCTCTAGCTCGTAAGTCCTCATGAGACATCCATCCATGTCCTAGAGGTTGGTTTGGCACATTCATGGGTGGGGTAAGGGACACAGAGCGTTTCAAAGGGCTGTGGTGTGTCTGGCCTGAGAGAACTGAAAAAAAAATAAAATCAAAGAGGTTATTCCCCCCTCGCGGCCCGGGATGCAGCAGAGTTCCCCCAAAAAAAAAAACTCATTCCATGAGAACATCCAATGCCTGGTGGTCGGCCACGGTGCCTCGCTGGTGGCTTCACAGGGCCCGTGGCTACCTGGACCCTGCCCTGAGCTCCACGCTCTGCCTCCTGGGAAGCAAAGGGGCCGGGAGGACCTGCAAGGAGAGGGGGGTCACACCAGCTACGTGGGGTTGCTTCAGGAAGGGTGGTGTGTGGATTGCATTTCTAGGGGGAAAAAAAAAATGTCATGGAGCAGTTCTGGAGGTTCTCCCTGTGTGGAGTCACGTCCTGACAGCAAACCTGAGCACGTGGTGGTGCTGGTGGGTTCTTGGCTGCTGGCTCTCACCAAGCCTGGAGCTCATGGGAGTGTCTACCTTGAAGGGAAGGCACCACTGCTACTGCAGGTGGAATCAGAGAGTTGTTTGGGCTGGAAAAGACCTTTAAGATCAGGTCCAAGCGTTAACCCAGCACAGCCAAGTCCACCACTAAACCATGTCACTAGTGGAAATTTTCAAGTGACTAACTGAGGCCGTGAAACTCGTCCTGCTAAAATAATCCAGACCCATATTTTTCTGGGAAAGGCATGATAAAAATCCCCAGGATGGGAATGTTCTCACACTGACCCAGGGGAAACCTCTCTACCACTCCCTTTCGGTCAGGACCTGGCTTATGCCCCAAAGCCCAAGCACTTGCACATCTACCTAATGTCACTGCGGAGGTACTGACCAACTGATCATCCACAGAAACGTCTAGGCCTTAGAATCACAGAATCATTTTGGTTGGAAAAGACCTTTAAGATCATGAAGTCCAACTGCTAGCCCAGCACTTCACTTCCATGTCCACCACTAACCCATGTACCTCACACCACATCTCCACGGCCTGGAAACCCCTCCAGGGATGGGGACTCCACCACTGCCCTGGGCAGCCCTTTTGGGGAAGACATTCTTCCTAATGGCAAATCTCAACCTCCCCTGGGGCAACTTGAGGCCGTTTCCTCTTGTCCTATCACTTGTTCCTTGGGAGCAGAGCCCGACCCCCACCTGGCTCCAGGCTCCTGTCAGGAGCTGTGCAGAGCCAGAAGGTCTCCCCTGAGCCTCCTTTGCTCCAGGCTCAGCACCCCCAGCTCCCTCAGCTGCTCCTCCCCACACTTGGGCTCTAGACCCTTCCCCAGCTTTGATGCCCTTCTCTGGACATACTTCAGCCCATCAAGGTCCTTCTTGGAGGGAGGGGTCCAAAACTGAGCCCAGGATTCAAGGTGTGGCTTCACTGATGCCGAGTCCAAGGGGACGATCCTGCCTGAGTCCTCCTGGCCACACTAGTGCTGACAGCAGCCTTGCTGAGTCCTCCTAAGACCTGGCACTTAGTTGAGCAACCATCAGCAACAAGAGAAACCCAGCTCAGCCACCCATCAGGTGCACTTCCAAGCACAGGCTAAACCAAACATCCAAAGCAGCAGTGAAAATACACCCCTGACAAAGAGATGAGGCTAAATCCCACAAAAAAAAAAAAAAAAAAGAAAAAAGAAAAAAAAAAATTTTGAAAGCTTTGGATTAATTTTTCCTTTCCAGTTGTATACAGGTTTGTATTTCCTGGCTGAAGTTCTGACACCACCAAGTTCAATTTGCTCCTAACAAATAACTTTAACACTGCTAAGATCCAACTCCTGTGATCTGGAGTTCCTCAAGAAAGGCTCTACCATGGGTAGGTATCTACTTGCCTTTCAGTCAAGTACAGAAATATGTAGGCTAAAGTATTAAATAAAACCCAGATCGAAAGATTTTCTGACACTTTTTCTCAGCAGTGTTACAACTTGAAGAGATTTTTAAATGCAGTTTTTACTGAATGGTCTCAATTTTTCGTTGCTCTTCCATATGGTCTCCTTTTTAGATATCTCCTTAAATATTTAGATATCTTTTTCTTGGGTCTGTTGGTTAGTAGGGGTATTACATAGTAGTCAGAGGAAAAGATGGATATGGATGAACTATCCTTGTTTCCTGTAATGAAAAATGCATGAAAAGATTGGTCCGTTGGCTTAACAAAATTAAAATTCCATCATTCCCAAAGTCATTAAACTGCTGGTTAAACCTAAATGCAGTTCATGTATTTTAATGTATGGATTTAGGATGTAAAACACTTGTTTAATGTTTTATTGCAGTTACACTCAATTAAATTAGTTGGACTTCACGGGGGCTGTTTCCTGACAACTGAGACTAAAAAAAATCTCAGGATTTAGCCACTGCTCAGCCAAGCCATGTTCCATTGCTCACTGGGATAACCAGGACAAGTTCTGGAACCAGGAAGGTCCTCTCTGGTTTGCATCAAATCCAAGCCAACTCTGCTGTTCTCAATGCTCCCCCAGGTCCAGATGTGGGGTTCACATTGTCATGGCTCACAAAACATCTGCACCAGTCTGTTAGCAAGGACTCATTTCTAGAAGTAAGAGCAAGCTCTGCAGAAAGACACTAATTTCTCCAAATGAGCAGCTCTGAGCTTTGTGGTGGGGTAGAGGAACTGCAGATTGGCCCCAGGGACATCTGAGGGCAGAGGGGTTAAAAAGACCTTGCAGCTCATCTGAAACTAAAGCAAAAACTTTTCAATTTTTCTTTCAGAATTAGATTTCTGAACTCGGCACAAAACCTGGGGGAAATTCATCGTGCTCATTGCTTTTCCTCCCAGAGCACCAAAGCTCCCCAACCCCTCTTTTTGCATTGGTAGGAGTTCCTCAAAACCACTCACAGCTCCTCCACATTTTATTTCCTAACAGAAATGAGACTTCATGGGAAACCCCCAGCCAGTTGTACCGGGCTTTAAAAGTTAAGCTGGGTTTAATTCCCAGCTAAAGCCTGGAGGAAAACCCACTACAAAGCCTTCTCTGCTGACCAGAGGCAGAAAGAAAATGAGCAAGTAGCAGAGTTATAAAAGGAGGAGAGTGAAAACCACCAGAGCTCCTTAGCATTTATTAAGCACCTATAAAAAGCATCTGGTGCCACATGGCTGACGGATGAGGCCAAAAACTTGTGGATTTCTGCACTGCCTAAATTGTTCCTGTTTCTGAAAGTGTTTTTTCCTACCAGCACCTAACACTAACACCGTGGTGTGCCAGGGAGCAAGGGTGAAGAATTTCTTCTGATGGTGAAGAATTTGTTCCCTTCCCATTCAATAACTATAGAAACGTCTTCCAGAAGTCTCCCAGCAGAAAAGGTTGTTGGAGAGGAGCCAGAATTGTTTTCAGAGCAGTGTTGTTTCCTAAAGTTGTGATGCATCCTGATGGGGAAACAGATGGATTTAAGAAAGTCTCAGCTAAGCTACTTCAGCTCTTGGCTTTGCAGTTGTACCCCAAAAGCAGCACTGGAAAGGGGTTCTGGAGATGTCACATCGCCCTCTCAGGAGACAAAAATATTCAGCATTAAAAAAACCCAATAAACATGAGGGAAAATGTGGAGAAAACCTGACAAATCACTTGAAACGCATCAGCAGGAGCCCCAGAGCCTGTGCTGTGCCTGCTGCCCCAGCTGCGAGTACACAGCCAGTGGGGTAGAAACCACCCCAGATTTGTTGTAGGAAAAACTCTGGTTCAGGAAATACTTGTGCCCTTGGAATGAACAAGAGGTGCAGGAGAACAGGCAAGGAGGGCAGGAGCTATTGGTTCCCTTTCAGGAGGTGACAGGTTGCTCCATTAGTGCCCCCTGTCACAGGGTGTACGCAGCAGCTGGCACCCTGCAATGGTTAAGCCATCCTCTCCCCACCAAGATCTTGCAAATAAGAGGATATCTGAGGTTTAAACCCAGCCCAGATTCCTTCCTGAGCAGCAATACCCTTGCAAACTGCTGCTCTTACGTCTTAATTTTATGTCCCCTAATTAGAAGTCAGCGTTGGCTGAAGGAGACACAAGGAACTCCACAGGATGGCCAGGAACAAACACAAATCATCTGGTGTGACACACAAAAACCAGCTCCACTTCCCTCCCTGAGATAACACACCACTGGAGTCCAGCAGGCCAGGCTTTACTAAACCACCAGTGTGTTCACTGAACGATGAGTCAATTCACACAACTTCACGAGATCACAGACTGGTTTGGGTTGAAGGGACCTTTCCAGGCCATCTAGTCCAACCCCCTGCCCTGAGCAGGGACATCTGCAGCTAGAGCAGGTTGCTCAGAGCCCCGGCCAACCTCACCTGGGATGGTTCCAGGGATGGGGCAGCGACCACCTCTCTGGGCAGCCTGGGCCAGGGGCTCACCACCCTCAGCAGCCAAAATTTCTCCCTTCTCTCTAGTCTGAATCTCCCTCTTTTAGTTTCAAACCATCCCCCCTTGTCCTGTCCCAACAGGCACTGCTGAAAAGATCACTAGGGACAATTCCTCTGCAAAGAATGCCCCGAGCAGAAAAAGTCACCAGCAATTTGAAACCACCTCAGCTACTCTTGGTACCAGACAGAGCTCATGTCAGAGCTCTTAGCACTGGCCTAACTTCAGGTTCTGCTTAAGCCTTTCTGGCTGTAACAGGCACCGGTGAGCAGCGTGGTTTCTTGCCAATCCTCTCTCCAGTTTCCATCAGCACTCAGGCTTAAAACTGGTGTGAACGTCAGGCTGGCACCTGCCTGGTATGCTCACACCTCTCTCTTTTTCAATTTATAACCCTCAGAAAGAGGATTAATAAATATGCATATTTATTAATGCTGCTGCTTGTGTTCGTGCCCTCAGTTGCTTGAAATAAAGGCTGCGGCTCATGACCTTCAAAGGGTCAGTTTAGTGAAGGCCTTTCTCTGCTTTTGACAATCCTGTGTGTTTTTTGGATGGTCCAAGGTGAATTTGGGACTGCCAACAGCTGAGCTGGAACCTCCCATCAGGACAAGTCACTTTTTCAGTCTCTTGCTAAAATAAATAGTCCAACTTGTACTTCAGCAGAAGAAAACCAAGTGTGAGTTCACCACCAGTCTCTTTACTTTTTATTACAAAAATATTAAGTTTTAATTTAAAAAGGAAACCTAATATATTCTTCTAGGGTAAGATAAGCTTCCAGGAGGTGGCCAGAGGCACGCCTGCCTTTCTGAGGGCCGTGGTGCTGCGAGCTGGATTAACAAAGAGAGGAAACCACTGCTGCAAAGCACCAGCCACGCTGGCACACGGATCCCTCACAACTTTTAAGTGTGTCCCACTTTGGGATTAGAAGGTTTTTCCTGACAGCCACAGGCTCATTTAGGTGGTGCAAGAGCCATCCACTCCCCAGGGATCCACCAGTCACTCTGAAAAGCCTGGTTTGGTTCCTTCCACATGGATGGACGGAGGCAAGAGCAGCTCGTGGTGCTCCCCATGGTAAGTGGGCTGGTGCCACCTCTCTGCTCCACCACCGTGGCTCTGAACAGCCACAGGGGTTGTGCTCAGCCCACACCAGATGCTGCTTCCTTGCAAGAAAGCTCCTGGTGGCCTCCAGATCAGGGTCAGCTGCAACCCAGTGGACACTGCCAAGTCTAATCCCTTGGAGATGAGCTCCGGATGTCTTGCATCCTATGGAAAACCATGATAAATAACCTGGAGCTAACGGTGCTGAGACGTACGAGGTGCTGCTGCCAAAGAGCTCCCAGGCTTCAAACCAAGCTCAGCTTAATATTCCCAGGGGGAAAAAAAAATTAAGAGGATGGAGAAGGAGAGAAAACAACAACACAACCATCCCAGTGTGCAGCATCCCTGTGGGGCCACCAACTCCCTGGGCAAAACTGGCTTTATCACAGACCAAACACTGGCTGGGTTGGCAGGCACAAGAACGTGTTAGAGGAACTCTGAAGCTGCAAGTGCTTTCCCTGGGTTTAGGTTTGTTTTTTTCTTCTTCTTCTTTCTTCCTTTTTGAAGTGGTGTTGCCTATTTTAGTAGGCAAGGGCTAATTTCAAGAGGGTTTTTGTTCACTGAAGACCATGTGGAACAGCGTCAGACATTTGTGTTGTGGTTTCTCAGGGTTTCGGGCCAATTTTTCAGCCTGAGAAGGGAAAAGCCACCCATTCCTGTAATTAGAGCTGAGGAATTGGGCTCTGCAGGCAAACCTTCCTCCGCACGGCATGCGACAGCCAGCGAGGCACTCGCCTCCCCTCTGCCCCTCATTAAACCTGGCTTCAAGTGCTCCAGAAGTCCTTGACAGGACACACGTAGGGCTGATGGGAGTGTTCCCACCGAGAGCCAGACCATCTCTGGTCCTGGCATGCCCTCCGCTGCTGCACAGTCTCCAGCAGGTCCCTGACACCCCGAGGACCTTTAGAACCACCTCACTACCCTTCACACCAGCACACAGATGACAGTTCAGGATGATGTCCTCCCCATGGATGGAGAAAGGAAAAAGCACTCCAAGGTGCATGCTGAGCTCTTGGGGAGATGAGTTTCTTTGTCCAAGACCAGCCCTTCTTGGCTGCAAAGCTGGTTATGGGGCATCCTCAGGCAGCGTCGATCCTGCAAGATTCCTTCTCTGGTCTGTGGGTACCTGGAGCAGCAGCTTGATCCCAGCTTGCTAGAGGAGGTGAGGATGTTTGTAATCCCCCATGGCCACACAGCCTCTCATGCAGCCTGGAGGCACCCCGAGGGAAGGGGAACACAGAGCAGCTCTTGCAAAGCACCCCCCAAGCTCAGCTCAGTCCTTTCCTCCTCCCCGCTACCCCAGTCACGAAGCACCGTCCCCTGCAGGAAGGCTCCCCAGTGCTGGCAGCCCAACCCCCACAGCTTTTCCAGCCTTTCTGTGCCAAGGACCCTTGGAAACAGCCACCGGTGGGTCACGCTGCCCGGCTGGCACCCAGCCCCCTTCCTGGGCACCCATTCACCCGCTCCCCACAGCCAGCTCCTGAGTGCCCCAAGCGGGACCCGACACCACATTTTTCAGCTCAACATCCCCTCACCCTTGGAGCCTTTTCTTCGGGCCTTTTTCTCCTTTCTCCCTGGGTTTTGGTGGCTGTGACTCTAAGTGTGTTCATACACTGCTGGATAAACCAGGCTCCTTGCCTTTGGGGCTGATCTGAGCCACGATGGGTGAAACCAAGGGTCTTAAATACAAGCAGCCACCAGGAAGCCTTGTGCATTAGGAAAAAAATAATGATATAAGCAGAGTGCTGCCTTCAGCAGAGGAATCAGGAAGAAGCACAGACGGGAAAAAAGCCTGTCAAGCAACCTTTTTTTTTTTGTCCCAAACCTGACGTTTTTAAACACAGTTTCCTGTTGAAGAAACTGAACAGAGAAACAATAACCCGTTTGTTGCTGCTCTCTCGGAGCAGCTCGTGTGGGGCCCCATCCTGGCTCAGCTGGGGAAGGGGTCGTCTCTGCTGACCACAGAGGGGTTTGTGGGATCCTCCACGGCACAAGCACATTTGGATCCAGTGTTTGGCTGCAGCAGGGATTGCTATTGTTGTTAATTTACTCGGTTGTGTGGCAGCAGGAGCAGGGATGCATCTAAAGACGTGTAACCACAGCTCCTGGTGGCTTCAGCAATCCAACGGGATGGATTCCTGGAAGGAAGCCCAGATCGTCTTCCTTGAGGAGCAGGAGTTTGGGAGCTGCATTTGAGGTCCTTGCATGGAGCTTCCTACCAGAGTATCCAGCGAGGTGGGAGCAAGACAGACCAGGTTTGAATCCTGATTTAGCTCCCAGACAAAAGGATGCCCAAAACAGCAGCTAGGGGCAGGGAGAATTGGTGTTGGGGATCATGGAATGACTTGGTTTGGAAGGGACTTCTAAAGGCCATCTAGTCCAACCCCCTGCCCTGAGCAGGGACATCTGCAGCTAGAGCAGGTTGCTCAGAGCCCCGGCCAACCTCACCTGGAATGGTTCCAGGGATGGGGCAGCAACCACCTCTCTGGGCAGCCTGGGCCAGGGGCTCACCACCCTCAGCAGCCAAAATTTCTCCCTTCTCTCTAGTCTGAATCTCCCTCTTATAGTTTAAAACAACCACCCCTTGTCCTGTCACAACAGGCTCTGCTGAAAGGTCTGTCCCCAGCTTTCTGACAGCCCCTTGAAGTCCTGAAAGGCCACCAGAAGGTCTCCCTGGAGCCTTCTCCTCTCAGGCTGCCCCAGCCCAACTCTCTCGGGCTGGGCTCCCAGCAGAAGGCTTCTAGCCCTCAAATCATTCCTGGGGCCTCCTTAGGACCTCCTCCAGCAGGTCTCCAGGTGGGGTCTCACCAGAGATGGAGGGGATCAGAGGCACACTGCAGGAAGGCAGTGTCCTAAACCATGCTGCTCTTTGGGTAAATGCAACACCCTGATCTCCAGGCAAATAAATGTGGTCTCTCTCCTACACGTATACACAAACCACAGAAAAACTAGTGATTGCCCCTGGAGAATCCCAGCCCATTAATGACAATGCTGCCATGCTGGACTGAGCCTCTGCAGTTATCCCAGAATTCACTGATTGTTTGCTATGGGCTCCTGGGGGAAATTCCTCCCCTGCTCACGGATCAACCCAGATAAATGGTGCCAAGATGCACAAACTCTCCTTTCTATGATCCTTTTCCACCCAGAAGAGATGTCCAAGAGCACCTGTGGGAAACTGGGAGTAAGAAAAGAAGGGTCTTAAGCTGGTCCAGTGGTGGAAGGGGTGAGTGTGAAACCTCTGGAATTGCCCCAAGAAACTGGGATCCAATCGTCATAGAACCATAGAATGGTTTGCGTTGGAAGGGACCATAAAGATCATTTAGACCCAACTCCCCTGCCATGGGCAGGGACACTTCCCACTGGACCAGGTTGTTCAGAGCCCCATCCAGCCTTACCTTGACCACTTCCAGGGAGGGGACATCCACAACGTCCCTGGACTGAGTCCCTAAAGAGTTCTTAGAAAGCTGTGGGGCGAGTGCAGGGAGACAGTGCACCTTTAGGAGTGACAAAATGCAGGGGGACAACATGTGTCCTACTTGATGTACGTCCCATGATGATCATCCCACCATCACCAGGGAAACTGCAGCCAGGAAGAAGGAGGGCTGTAGCTTTTTCCATCCTCACCGACTCATTTGGGATCTTCTCCTCCGTTGCCTCTTTTCACCCACTTTCACTTATTCAGAAAAGCCATTTAGTCCTCCTCTCATGGCCTGGATTTCACAAAACAACTTCCTCTGCATTTCAGCCTTCTTGGCTTCCTCTGGCCTCCAGCTCTCAGAGGTCACACGCCCCGTCCTGAGCACCCTCTGCCCAGGCTGGTGAAGTCTTATTCCTCTTCTTCTCCCAAGAGCATAACATCTTCCCATCTCCAGGAGAGAAGAAAAGCCTGCTGGGTTTCTGAGGCCACTGAGGGGCAAACACAGTATCCAGCTCCTCGTATGAGAAGATGCAAAAGCTGCTGCCCAGCAGGGACATCTCCTGCCTCCCCACACTGCCCCAAAACCTGGGCTCTGCCATGCTCCCCAACAGTCCCCAGCAGCAATGGGAGAGCCACGGCTGCTACCCTAAGACACAGATTCATTCTTTCCCATTACTGCTCCAAATGAACTCAGCTCAGCTTTCCACCTCCTCTACATATCAGCTGTGTATGCATCCTAAAAATCTGCCTTCCTCATCCTCCAAAACATTCTGGATTGCTCAGCTCTTGCCTCACACTCGAGTTCCAGCAGCTCTCTGTGCTGGCTCACACGAGACTCTCTTGCTCAGCACGCTGGGGGGGACCCTGGTTACAGGAAAACATCGACTGCAGAGCAACAACCAGCCTCGGATGCAACTGTGTAATGAACAGGAGCAGCAAACTGCAGGGGAAAAATTAAATAAATGAGACAAAT